TATCAGCAGCTGTGCAGCGTATCACAGTCACAGTGTCCTCATTGTGCACTGTACTTCATCTGCCACAGAGTTTCAGCCTCATAAAAAGGGTGACAGTGGGGCAATAAGAAGCTAACAGAAGCCAGGCATGGTGGTACACACCAGGGAGGCTGAGGCAGGAGAATCATGAGTTTAAACCCAGCCCTGGCAACTCAATGACAACCAGGGCCTATCTCCAAATTTTAAAAAAGTTAACAGACAGAGGGAGATTTCATTCATAAAACTCTTCCTACAGTACATTGCTGTGTCTGTCTTCTTATTAGTTCTTGTCAGTCTCTTCTTGTGCCTCATTTCTGATTAAACTTGAATTAGTTATGTCTGCATAAGAATAGCACCCATAGGGCTCACTGCTGTTGACAACTTGGGGCACCCACTGTGGGGTTCAGAAGGGCATCAGTTGAGCACACAGGCTGAGAGCACTGCCAGGCCTGTCAGTGCCCCTCACCTTTGCTTGAGGAAAGTGCACTGGCCCCAGGCTGTGTTACGGGGTGTGGTCCTGAGTGAACAGAGCACCCAGTCCTCAGGGGGTGGCGGTGTGGATTAGAATCCTAAGCTTAGAGCATGTGTGTTGCTCCTGCAGCCATAGTTGGGGCTGTGTCACTCACTGCTGGGGATAGTTTTTTGTGAGAGCAGATCCCTCACCCTGGTTGCCCTGTAGAGAATTCCTAGCACCTCCTTTTGCTTGCACTGTCAGCATAAGAAAGAAAAGGTGGCCCTGAGGTGTTCTTTCACCTCCTCAGTTTCACACGAAATGATTTTAGCACATGGCAGTGGGCACTTCACTAAGCCCCTGCCTGGGGATTTGCAAGGGGAGCTGGGACAGCGTGGCAGAGGCCATTTCACCGGAATATGAAATTGACTGTGAATGATGTGATTTGCTCTGCTTGCACTGGTTAAAATGCACTCACTTGAGAAGCAGCCTGAAGAAACTCCCTGAGAGCAGCCTCGGCCACCTAGGTCCCTTGTGGAGGTGCAGTCGGCCAATAACAGTGCTGGTGACAGTTGAAATAAAAAATTGTGCAAACTCTGAAGACTTACCCTGCAGAGCCCACAGTCTCAGACAAAAACCAAGATGGGATGTGATGCTTCCTCTGCTCATTTACAAAGGCAGAAAAAAGGAGGCCCAGGAGATACAGTGACCAAGTGGAATAGGGCTGGCTGACTCTGAAAGCACAGTTGTGGTGAGTCTTCTGCCTGTCCCTAGGTACACGGGAGGGGAGGGGTGACAAGAAGCTTGGAGCTCAGGGATTTGAGGAAAGGTCCTTGCTAGGAGGCAGGGGCCTGGCTTAAGCCTTCCTGCCACTGAAGCAGAGCACTGTTTTCTGAGCTTGGTGACCTTGTGCACTTAGAGTCCACAGCTCTGAGTTCCAAGTGCAGGTTGAAGACCAGTCACTGGCCATCCAGGTTGGGAAAGTGACATTACTACTCTGAGGCTTAGTTTCCACTTCCATGAAGTGAGCTAACAGCCCCTGCCCATGAGATGGGCAGAGACTGCAGAGGTGGCTGACAAGGTGCCTGATTCTATCAGCCTGCCAGTGAGAGTGCTGTCTGGTTACAGAGGCGCTCTTGGCAGGAAGCCCTGCCCCCAGCTTCCTGCAGGGTCCCCCAGAACAAGAATTTTCTGAGTGTGCTCCCAGGGGCAGGTGGCACAAGCAGTAAGCGCTTTTGTTCCTACGCTCTGGGCTTCATCACACCTTGCTCTTCTGTGTTTGCAGTTGCTTTTGTCTTTATAAGATGTCTTAAAAGACAGCTGAGTATGCTTTGGAAAACACAGAGGCTTCAGAACTGGGTTTGAGTCCCAGGTTTGTAAACCGCATGAAGGTAAAGTGTTACTAGAACTCCAAAGTAGCAGGAGCCTGTGCATTAGGCTTGTGCCTACACACACAGGTTTTACCTACCCCACAGGTTTCGAAACAGGCCCAGCAGTGCTCAGGTCGAGAGGCCTGGACATCTGCTTTCCTGGGCGTCTGGCCTACAAGGCAGCAGCCAGCTCTCTGACGGGAAAAGCTCCTGCCCTGAACTTCATTAAGGTGAAAGCTCTAAATTTAGCCCTGTACAAAAGGCTGCTGAACTAGGACCACTTGATGAATGGCTCTATGAGATCTCCTGGCGGCAACTCCCAGAGTAAATAAGATTTAAATAAAGCACCTTATCATTTCCCCACATCAGATCTGAACATTACTAAACATAAAGTGCTTCGGAGCCAGTGCTTTTAAAGACGGCAGCACTGTCTTGGCCCCTGAATAACTAATGGATGGTGGACTTGAAACTGGTGGTGGGTGCCGAAAGCTCAGGGGCAGGGGCGCCGCGTGCCCAGGCCAATCCGGCACCCTTGTAGTGCAGTCTGACACCTGGCCAGGTTTTTAGTAGAGAGAAATACTGGCTTTAGTAGAGAGAAAGAGGCTTCAGAGTGGAAAACACTGCCAGAGTAGAATACTACAGTTGCTTTTCTCCCTACAGTAGGGTTGTGTCCTGGCAAACTCATCATAAATTGAAATATTATTACAGAAGCATATTTGATACATCTAACCTGTTAAGCACTTAGCATAGCCCTGATGGCCTTATCCCAGCTTAGAACACTTACAGAGCCCACACTGGGCAGAATCTTCAAATGCAAAGCCTCGATTAGGAAGTAGGGTTGACTGTCTGTGCACTAAACACTGTTAGCGAATGTGGAATATGGAATGGCTGCATGGGTACACTGTCACCATGCTGAAAAGTTGAATAATAAACCTCTTAAATGGAACCATCGTAAAACAAGGGCTGTTGTATATGCATGGGGAGGGGACGGACACTCAAAAAGGCCTGGGCGTGGACCAGTCAACCAGAAGAGGTAGTGGTCACAGGCAGGCGCAGGGCTCTACAGAGCCATGAAGAAGTCAACCTTGAGGAGAGGCAGAGGCAGTAGCTTCTGCCAAGCAGTCAGTAGCAAGCTAGATTTTTAACGTCACTATGGTCTGTATGTGGCTGATGAATGTCAGCCCTGACGGTACTGCCCAAGGCTCCGTCAGGATCAGTGAGAGGGAAGTTATTCTTTGATCCCCAAATCCATTATTCACCAAGTCCCCTTTACCTCACTTCTGTGGAATCTCCTGGAGTCACTTCTTCATTCCATGTCCCAACTGGACAGGTGCTTCCAATCGAGCCCCTTAGAAAGTTTGTCATCCATCAGCTTGACTCTGGTCTTAAGTGGGATGGCTGCTGGCTGGGAAAGTATGCTTGGGCCGTGGATGGCTATGCTGGTGACATATCATAAGCATGCTATGTCCTTCACATTTGCGGGCCTACCATGCAACCCAGGAGAGAGTCTTGGGAGGGGAGCCTCGTTTCTTTTGTAGCCTCTCAGGGTTGAAGAGAAGGTCCTCTTCTCCTTCGAATGGCTTTGCTCACTGGGTGGCATTGCTCCATGGGAACAGAATGAAAGAGTCTGTCAGTCCAGCTGGAGGGACCCAAGGCTGCTGGGAGGGAAGCAGTGTTCTTCAGATCTCGGGAGAACTGAGTCAGCAGGCGCCCACTGGGCAGTCAGTGAGCTGGGGGACAATAGGGTACAGGGCTGGAGAACTTTCCTAGGTGGGTGGAGGAGGAAGCTAGGGCAGTGTTGATGGTAGATTTAACAAATACAATTGAAGGACAGAGTGACACTCTCCAGGCTGTCCTGTAGGCTTCAGGATCTGGGCCCAGCCCTTTCTGAAGCATTGCGGCTTTGAGCAAAGTCATCAGTATTGCATTCCAGACTCTGCCAGTGATTTGAGGCCCAGGCCTTCTCACTCTGACAGTGGGAAAGTAATTGCTACCTTAGAGCCCTGTGAGAAGGTGCCCCATGTGTGATCTTGGTGAATTGCATGGTGGATTATGCCTACTTGGTGGAATCTGCATATGTGCACAGAGCCTTCAGGTCCTGAGGCTGATGCACACAGCAGGAAGCTTGTTCCCAGTTCCTTCTGGAGAAGGCAGCAGTAGGATGTGGCCTCCGAAAAAGCCTTGTTAGAGTCACAGCAGTGCCCAGGGCCTCCGTCAGGGGTGTTGCCCAGCCTGAGACGCTGGAGAGCTCAGAGTGGGTCCCCGTCCAACTGGAAGACTGACTTCCTCCCAGGACAGGGCCTGTGCCTCCTGCTCTCCGCAGAGTGCTTCTGATCACGCCTCCTCTTCAGCAGCCTGTGATGACAGCATCCCTAGGGGACCCAGCACTGGGTCTCATACCGAGCAAGTCCACCACCCCAAGGGAGATGAGGTCTGAAGGTGTCACCATTTAAAACATGACTTGTTTTTTTCCTGTGTCTTATGTTTGGGCATCTGGGGTGTTAATAGCCTGGGACACTGCAACCCACTGCTACAGGCCTGTGACTTGCTAACATTCTGGTGTTGCCTTAACATATTTTTTATGTCTGCTTTATTGAAAACTAATTATAGCACAATCAAACATATCCTTTCAAGGCATGCAGTTGGAATGATGTTGCCAGTTGTGTATACCTTAGGCATCATTCTCACAATCAAGAGGCAAAGTATCCCCTTCAGCCCAGGTGACTCCCACAACCCCCAGCAGCCAGTCCTCCCTCTAACTAGCTCCAGGTAACTACTGGTAAGCCTTCTGTGACTGAGTCAGTTCCTATTTTATGTAAATGGAATAATATGCATCATTTCACCAAGGGCTTCTTTCATTCAGCATGACTTTTTATTGTAATAAAGTATACATAATAATGAAAATACATTTTAAAAAGTTTTTAGTAACAGTTTAGGAACACTAAGTATACTCACGTTATCTGCATACTTCATCACATCTGTGGAACTTTATTTATCTCCCACATTGCAACTTTATACTCATCAACACTGACTTCCATTTCTCTCCTTTCAGTTCCTAGAAGCCACCATTCTGCTTTGTGTCTCTGTGCACTTGACAACTCTGGGCTCCTCATTTAAGTAGAATCATGTCTGTTCTCTGGCATTTGGCTTTCTTCACTTAGGCTTATGTCCTCAGCGTTCACCCAGCTGTGACATGTGTCAGGACCCACTTCGACGGCTGAGTCTTACTGCATTGGACGTGGACCCTGACCTGTTTATCCACCCTCTGCCAGTGGACCCGGGCTGTCTCCACCTTTCGGCTCCTGTGGGTGAGGCTGTGAGTGCAGCACACAGACACTTCTTCCAGTCCTGCGCTGAGTTCTCTTTGGTGTGTGTATTGTGCTTCTCTGGTTCAGCTTGGAGGAACCTCCACACTGTTTCCACAGTATGCCGTTTCACACCTTTCAAAGAGCCTTTCATAGACCCCTGCTCCTATGCATATCTTCAGTTTCCACAAATTCAGTTTGCTTTCCCCTTCCCACAGCCTGTATTGATGATCTTTCCTTCACAATAGAGCCTCTGCCTTTTGGTCCTTTGAGGCTAATTTAATTTTCAGAGAATTGCTCAGCCATGATAATCTCAAGTAAAATTATACTAGTCCTTGCTATGTCATAATCCTGTCTTATTAGCTCCAGGTGTTACACACTGGCCAGTACCCTATTAACAATGCGATGCACCCATGACATCCTATTAACTCCACCTGCTATGTCACCTGTGTTGGTCCTCTTCATTGACTGATCGTGCTGTATGTCCTCCACGTGTGCTCTGAGCATAGCTGTGGAATGGCCTTCCTCTTAACTCTGTATGTGGCCCAGTATTCTGCAGCTCAGGTCTGGCTTGCTGCCATCTTCTTTATTGTGTCTTCAGTGATGCCTGTGTGATCTGTGAAAATTCTTTACCCATTTAGGTCTTGTTAGGGCAAGGTATCCAGAGCCCTGTGGGAAATCGCACATATCATTGTCTCTGAGGGACCCAGACTTCAGTGAGCGGCTTCGACCTCACATACCTTCTTTTTTTTTCAAATCCACTTTATTCATAGATGAAAAAAAAGGAGAAGGAAAAAACTGCAACAAAATTTTAAAGTACATCAATCAGGAGACAACAATGGTATGTGCATACATTGTGCATTGTTACCACAAAATCATTCACCCAGAACACAAGACATGCCTTCGATTGTCTGAACAGTACTAATACAAATTTATATATATATATATATATATATATATATATATGTTTTTTCTTTCAGCTTGTCACACTAATGAAATAATACAATGATTACAGGTGTGTATTATTTATTTCACTAATGAGTGTGGTCTCAAGTTGCATCCATTTACCTATAAAATTCTCCAGTTTGTCATTCTTTATGGCTGAGTAGTACTCCATTGTAGAAAAATACCACATCTTTTTTATCCATCCTTCAGTTGTTGGACATTTAGGTTGTTTTCAAGATCTGGTGATTATAAACTGTGCTGCTATAAACATGGATGCACATATATCACTGTAGTATGATGTTTTTAGATTTTTGGGGAAGATACCCAGAAGGAGAATAGATGGATCAAATGGGACCTCCAATCCTAGTTTTTTGAGGAATCTGCACACTGATATTTCATAGTGGCAGTGCCAGTCTGCATTCCCACCAACTGTGGAGAAAGATTCCTTTTCGCCCACAGCCCCTCCAGCGTTTGTTATTGCTTAATTTCTTGATAGTAGCCATTCTTTCCAGGGTAAAATGGAATCTTAGAGTTGTTTTAATTTGCATCTCTCAAATGACTAGTGATATTAAACATTTTTCACCTATTTGCTGTTTGTATTTGTTAATCTGACAAGTGTGTATTGCTTTCAGTTGCCCATTTTTGGATTGGGTCTTTAAATCTGAGAGGACTGATGTTTTTGAGTTCCTTATATGTTCTCAGTAGTAACCTTTGAGGAACAGCTGGCAGAATTTTCTCCCACACTGTGAGTTGCCTCTTCACTGTTGGTGGTTTCTCTTGCTATGCAAAAGGTTTTCAGTAGGGTGAGATACTATTCATTGATTCTTTGTGATAGCTCCTGTGCACTCTGGGTTTTGTTCTTAAAGTCTTTGCCTACATCAATGTCTTCAAGAGTTTTACTTCCTCTATCTTCCAGCATATTTAATGTTTCTGTTTTAATGTTAAGATCTTTGATCCATTCTGCTTTTAGCTTAGTATATGGTGAAAGATATGGGTCCATTTTAATCTTCAGCATATGTAGAGCCAGTTTTTCCAGCTCCATTTATTAAAGAGTGAATGTGTTTGACACTTTGTCAGACATAAAGAGACTTAGTGTGTCTGCAGTTGTTTCTGCATCTTGTAATTTATTCCATGGATCTTTGGGTCTTTTTCTTTCCAGTGCCGCACTGTTTTCATCACAGTAGCTTTATAGCATAATTTCAAGTCAGGGATTGTGACAGGCCCTGTCTTGTCTTTGTTGCTTGCCAAGGATGGCCTTTGCTATTCTAGGTCTCTTCTGGTTCCAGATGAATTTTAGGTTTCTTTTCTCTAATTCTGAGATAAGCTATTGGAAACTTGATTGAGACTGCATTGAATCTGCATAACAGTTTGGGAGTATGGTCTTTTTCACTATATTGCTTCTTCCTACCCAAGAGCATGGGCTATCCATTTTCTAATATCTTCTTCAATCTCCTTTTTTCAGATTACTGTAGTTTTTAATGTAGAGGTCTTATCCATCCTTTGTTAGATTAATTCCTAGATATTTCATTTTTGGGGTGCTATTTTAGAAGGTATTGTTTCACTGATTTCTGTCTTGGTGAGTTTGTTATTTGTGTACAAAAGGCTATTGATTTTTGAGTGTTGACTTTGTAACTAGCTACATTACTGAATTTCCTTATTAAATCTAGAAGTCTTTTGGTGGGGTTTTTGGATCTTCTAAGTAGATTATCATGTCATCTGCAAAGAATGATAGTTTACCTTCTTCCTTGCCTATCTTTATTTCTTTCTCTTGTCTAATTGCTCTAGCTAAAGTTTCCAGGACCATGTTGAATATGAGTGGAGACAGTGGACATCCTTGTCTTGCTCCTGATTTTAGAGTGAGTTTTTGGTTTTTGTCGATTTAGCATAATGTTGGCTGTTGATGTGTCATAGATGGACTTTATCAGATTGAGGTAAAGACCATCAACTGCAATTTTCTGTAGTGTTTCTATCATGAATGGATGCTGGACTTTGTCAAAAGCTTTTCTGCATCTATTGTGATGATCATGATTTTTGTACTTGGCTCTGTTAATATGGTGTATTAAATTTATGGATTTACATATGTTGAACCATCCCGGCATCCCTCAGATGAATCCCACTTAATCATGGTGTACAATCTTTTTGATGATTTGCTGTAGTCTGTTTGCCAGTATGTTATTGAGGATTTTTTTTCACCGATGTTCATTAGGGAGATTAGCCTGTAATTCTCTTTCTCAGATGGATCCTTCTCTGCTTTGGATACTTGCTTTGAATACTTGGATACAGGGTAATACTTGCTTCCATGAATGAATCTGGAAGTACTGCTTCCCCTTCAATTTCATTAAAAAGTTTGAGAAGTAGTGGTGTTAGGTCTTTACTAAATGTCTTATAGAATTCAGCAGTAAATCCAGTAGGGGTTGGGCTTTTCTTTGTTGATAGGCTTTTAATTATATCATTTATATCATTTATTGATATTAGGTTATTTAGGATTTTTGTATCTTCTTGATTCAGCTTTGGTAATTCATATGTATTTATGAATCTGTCCATTTCTCTGTATTTTCCATCTTGTTAGAATACAAGTTTTCAGAGTAGATATAGATGATTTCCTGGATTTCTGCAGGGTCTGTTGTGATTTTGCCCTTTTCATCCCTAATTTCTTGGACTTAAGTCTTTTCTTTCTTTTTTTTGACAGGGTTGGCCAAGGGTTTGTCAATTTTATTTAATCTTTCAAAGAACCAACTCTTTGATTCATTGATTCTTTGTAATTTTTTTTAGTCTCCAGTGTGTTAATTTCTGCTCTGATCTTTATAATTTCCTCCCTTGTATGAGCTTTTGGTTTAGTCTGATCTTCTTTTTCTAGAAGTTTAAGATTCAACATTAAATCATTTATATACACTTGCTCTGTTTTTCTGATACGGCCATTTACTTCTATAAATTTCCCTCTTAAGACTGCTTTCATTGTGTTCCACAAGTTTCAGTATGTTGTATTGTTATTATTCAACTATAAAACTGCCTAATTTCTTCTTTAATTTCATCTGTGACCCATTAGTTGTTTAGTAGGGTGCTATGTAATTTCCATGTGTTGATGAAGTTCTTGTAGTTTCCTTTGGCATGGATTTCCCAATTTCATTGCACTGTAGTCTGATAGCATGCATGTGATAATTTCAATTCTTTTACATTTACTTAATCATGTTCTATGAGCCAGTATGTGGTCTATTTTGGAGAGTGTTCCATGTGCAGCTGAGAAGAATGTGTATTCTGATATTGTGGGGTGGAATACTCTATAAATATCTACTAAGTCCATTTGCTCAAAAATTTGATTTAGTTCTAATATTTCATTATTGTTGTTTTGTCTAGTTTATCTTTTATTTGTTATTGAGGTCTCCCAATACAATTGTATTAGGGATGATTTGATTTTTCATGTCCATTAGTAATTGTTTTATATAGTGGACTGCACTGGTATTTGTTGCATATATATTTATGATCGTTATTTCTTCCTTTTGTATTGTTCTCTTTATGAGGATGTAGTGACCTTCTTTATCTGTCTTAGTCAGTCTTGGCTTGAAATTCACTTTGCAAATAGAATAGCTATTCCTGCTTTTTGGTGGATTCCTGTTACATGGAGTATTATTTTCCATCCTTTGACTTTCAGTCTATGAATTTCTTTGTGAATTAAATGTGTTTCTCGTATGCAGCATATTGTTGGATCTTGCTTTTTGACCCATTCTACCAATCTGTGTCTTTTGACTGGTGAATTGAGATCAGTAACATTGATGGTTAAACCTGATATATATTGACTTGTCCTTGTCATGTTATTTTCCTGTTGATAGCTCCCCCCACTTTTTTATTCCCCATTTTTAATTCCCTATTTTTATTTCCCTATTTTTTTGCCTTTCTTGGTAGATTCCTTCTGTTGGGGTTCATGGAGCTGTAGTCCTTATTATATCTTTCTAGAATATTCTTCAGAACATTTTGGAGTGTGGTTTTGTGGTCATAAATTTCCTCATATGTTCTTTGTCATGGAAGTATCTTACTTCTTCATCAATTTTGAAAGATAGTTTTGCAGGGTACATCAATCTGGCTTGAAAGTTGTTTTCCTTTAGAACTTGGAGTATTTCACTCCAAGCTCTCCTTGACTTGAGGCTGAGAAGTCATTCATGATACTGATGGCCTGTCTTTTATAGATGATTGATTTCTTTTCCCTAGCAGCTTTTAAGATTCTATTCTTGTGTTAAATTTCTGGAATCTTGACTATGAGATGTCTGGATGTAGATTTTTGTTGTTGTTGTTATTGCTAATTGGAGTTCTATGTGCCTTGCTTATTTGTATTTCAAATTGTTTTTCTCTACCAGGAAAGTTTTCTGTCACAATGTCTGTGAACATGTTGTTCATTGACTCCAGTCAATCTTAAATTTATTCTTTGTCTCATCTAGCTGGATTGATTTCTCATGATTGCTTGCTAGTTTTGAGAAATCTTTCATTTCTTGATCATTAACTATAATCCTGTCTTCAATTTCTGAGATCCTGTCCTTAGATTGGCCTAATCTGCTTTGAAGACTTTCAGTTGAGTTTTTATTCTCCTGGATATCTGCTTGAATCTGCTTTATGGATTCCATTTGTTTCCTGTGATATGCTTCTATATTTTGCTTAAGCTTATTTATTTTTTGGCTATGTCTGCTGTAACATCACTAAGCACCGTGTATATTTTGGTAATTTCTGTAGTTATCTGACAGATTATTTCTGATTTCATTTTTTTCAGAGCCTCATTCAATTGCTTTGTTGTACCATTTTGGAGAGAGCTTATGGGGGGGGGGGCTTTTGATTGTCCCACCTCATTGCCCCCTAGGTTTCCCTTTGGTGAACTGGATGTCTGGTGTTGCATCTTGTTTAAGTGTCGTCTCATTTCTTTTCTTTTTAGTTTAATTCCTGGAGTGATGCTTGTAAGTTGCCTATGATGGGTTGCTTTATTGGTGGTATTTAGGACACTTATGTGATGGCTACTTCTCTGAGGTTATCTTGCAGGTATAGCTGGTTTTTGGGTTTTGAGTCTGTTGGAAGAGTTTATCTCTTCAGTTAGGAGGAGATGAGAAGTTGTTACTCATTTGGCCCAGTCCCTGGTTCTTTGGCACTGTGCCACAATATTTTCTCAGTCATGGATTATCAGGACCAACATAATTGTTTGGAACAATTATGTCAATGTTGGCTGACATGATACCAATAACATCAAACACTGCCTATAAAACAGCAAACTGAGCTAACCCTTAATTTATAACTTTTAACCATATAAACTAGATTTGTGATTATATAACAAAGTGTAAAACAAAGCAGATACTTGTATGCAATATGTAAGTCCATAATATATCAATTTTTTTCCTCAGGGGTTAAAATTTAAAATAGGTTAAGGAGAAAATAAAGAAGTGGAAAAAGAGAAAGAGATTACAAGTAAGGTTGGAGGACAAAGATGGGTCCCACCAACTTGGGGGAACTGGTGCAGAAGATTGAAAGAAAAGAGAGGTGGCAGTGATAAAAGGTAGAACAAAACAGAACCATATCCACAAAGAGGATAGGAACCACTCTCACGCTCATAAAAAAAAGAAAGAGAAAAATAAATAACAAACTGAATAAAACATAACAAAACAGATAAGAAAAGAAAAAAAAACAAAGCAAACAACAACAAAAAAAAAAAAAAAAAAAAAAAAAAAAAACCAAAGAGTACACTTCCAGGATTCTCTCTGGGTTCATTAGTAGACACTCTGTGGAGACAGAGTCCTGAATCATGCCATTGTATCCCAGCAAGCCAGCCATTGCTTTTTGGCAGAGTAGTAGATAATCTTAGCAGGCCTGCCCCAAGACCAGACTCATTGGGCTCGCTGCAGTCCAAACAGTTTCTATGGGTCTGCACCTAGCTATGAGCTGCTAGAGGAAGCTAGCAGAAGTTCTGGTTCTGGGCTTAATCCAGCATGGATACAAAATGGCTCCCAGCCAATCTCTCTCTCCTGCGGGAGGAACGAGTCCTCTGCACTCACTGCCAGCCAGTGCAGTCCTCCAGGTCCACTGCTCCCCTCCACTGCTGTGTCTTTCTGCAGAGGGTGAGGTTGCCACTGCCACCATGACCATGCATCCCCAGGTTCCAACAGCTCCTCTCCTGCAGTTAGTCTGGCTCCAGGCAAAGGCGCCACCAGCTGCTGCCTTATTTATTGAAGTTTTTCTTTTCTTACTCTCTCTGTGGGCTTCAGTTCACACTTCAGATTCTTCCCAGGTCCAAGGGACTCACCTCCTTCCTTTTTGTCTTCCTCACAATGCTAATTCAAGTGTCTGAACAGTGACTCTCAGGCTGTTTTCTCTGCTACTTACTGCTCCACCATCTTCCCGGAAGTCTCAAACTCACATACCCTCTTTGAAGGCTCTTCCTAGCTGAGCATGGTAGTACTTGCCTATAAACTAGCACTTGGTGAGCTGAGATAGGTTCTGAGTTTGAAACCAGCCTGGACTATGTAGTAAGACCCTGTTTTTTGAGGGTCTGGTGAACCATTTTAATAGAACCTGGAGGGACATGAGAGGATTAGGCTGAAGAAGCAGGAAGCTGTGTGAGAAGAGAGGTCATCGGAAAAGAAGGGTAGGGACAGGCCAGTGAAAAAGGACTGCCAGGCCACATAGCTGTGTCACTGCAGACAGTGGCTGAGATGCAGCTCATCATTCCTTTGCTTTGCACCATTGGGGTCCTGGCTGCACTTACTTCTACCCCAAGCTTACTTCTACCCCATGGCCATAGGTGTGTGTGGTGAGCAGCTGCCTCAACCAGACCCTGTGCCTACAGGCAACTGAGAGATAGGTGCTGTGGTGGTGTAGGCCAGGGTTAGACATACCTAAGGGCTCAGATTGTGGTCCAATAGTGTGGGGAGGTGACTTGTAGAAATGTCTTTTCCTTGTAATTGTGTACTTTTCTCCAGAGGTCAGGAAAGGATAAGGAGTCCTTGACAGTCCTTGACACTTGATACACACAAGAACTGTCTGTTAACACTTGTGCATTTAAAAAGGCCAGTGTATTGTGTATATGTGACATAGTTCTCAGGAGGCCCCTTATTAACCTTCTACACTTCTAAAATAGTCTTTAAAAACATTACCAAGTCTGTGATCATGTTACTCAGACTGTAAAAACTATTTTGAGATCCCACTGTGTAGATGGGAAAACTAAGGCTCTATGAAGCTCCCGTGGTACATAGTCTGTATTCCAAGTCTCCTCCCTGTACTATGGCTGCTCCTCTGGAGGCAGTAGGTGGAAGATGGAAGGAGAGCTACATTGCTTAAAGATGATCATCCTGCCTCTGGGTGGTCTTGGGCGATGCTCCTTATAGTTCTACAACTTTCACGGAGTGCCTCTTAGAGTCATGGCTGTAGCCCATGAAGGAGCCTCAGGCCCAGCTTTGTGCAAGTGAAATGTCCCATTTGTTGATCTCTACAACTGGCCTCTGGAACCTGTTTGCCAAACATCTGCCGGTGCCTCACCTTTAACACAGCTGTTGTCCGCAGGTGCCTGTGGGGCCAAAACCTCACCCCATCTGGCTCCCTGGGCCTGCCAATGAGCAGGTGCTGACTGTGCCCAGCATCTGTGTTTGAGATGCAGTGGGGAAAGTATGGCACAAGGCAGGGCGAGTCTCTCTTTGAAGTTCAGAAAAACTAACTGGCTGTACTGGGCTGAACAGTACAGTGTCCCCTGAAAATTCATGTGCACCAGAAACATCAGAGCAGGACTTTCATGTGGATGTAACTCACTGCATCGTTTACATATGTAACTCATTATGACACGTGACAGGAAGTGGCTCTGGAGATAGGGTTACGGACTAGAATCTCTTTAAGAAGAAGAGCGGACAGAGTGACACACAAAGAGGAGACAGTCATGGGAGGGACGCTGCCTGGAAGAAGCTGGAGATGCAGGAAGGACCCTCCCTGGGAGCCTTTGGGGTGAGGGTGGCTCCGCTGACACCTTGGTTTTGGCTTCAGGCCTCCAGAACTGTGAAATAGAGATGTGCTTGTTTTCAGCCACTGCACTTGAGGTTTGTCAGCAGCCACAGGAAAGAAATGCAGTGGCTGGTTGGTAAACGGGCATGGGGGAACCATGGGGTGGGTCAGAGACCCAGAGTACAGGGGCCCTCTGCTCCCCTCAGAGCTTTTCCCAGAAGGGCTTTAAGAATTCCATGGGCAGGCAGGCCGTACAGCACAATGAACCAGGAGTCAAAGAAAGCCCAGGGCCTGGCTCCCCTGTGCCAGGCACCACACACGTCTTTACAGAATTTCTCTCCATTTTTCTAAGGACATTAGTAACTAAGTTGTTCTTGCCCTAGTTTTAGATTTGAGATTCATTATGTTACTCAGGATCACACAGCTGGTAAGTGACAGATCTGAGGTTCAAACTGTGTCTCCTCCTGTTTAAGAGCTTGCATAGTTAGCCATGATATCACTGTGACCTTTTATTAGTCAGAGCAGGAGCTAATGGTTGACAGAGCCAGAAAAGAGCCTGTCAGGACTCTAGGAACTACAAAGTTTCCCATATGCTTCTTCCTGCTACCTGCCTTTCACTCAACCTTCTAGTCCCTGCCTATATGGTGGCAGTCACATTACAGGGTCCCTGTTCCTTGAATGGCCTGTAGCATTCAGATGTCCACACTTCAAGTGGTTTCTCTGCCAGTTTGTCCCCATCCTTTCCTATCTGACAAACATTCTCCCGACATGGCTCAACTTAAATGTGCTCCATATGCTGTCATCCGCATGTTCTATATGGATCATAAACCCTACTGGTCATGTCAGTCTTTCCAAGAATGAAGTCGGGGTACCTCTGACCCAGAGCTGAGTCTTCCAATTTTGGCTTTGATTTTTTTGTGCCTCCGTGGCACCTCAATCTCTAAAGTCACCCAAAAAAATTTGAAGAAGTAAAGTATGTAGAAGACCTGAAGATCATTAAATAAAAAATATTCAGCAGAGAGATTAATTTTTTAAAAAGAAAGAAAAAACATATATTCCAAGACAAAAGAACCACTAAGAGCTTTATATGTTGAAAACTAATATTGAATATGGAGACCCTTTTGGTGACACTCAGTTCAGTATACTGGTCACGGGATTCAGGAACTTTCTTTTTTAAATTACCCATTTAGGCCTTTAGACACATCTTTTTAAGAGCTTGCCTTAAAGTGTGTTTGCACTTGTAATCACACATACCTCTTTGTATGCTGACCCCAATGGAAATGTAGGACACCATTTGTTGGGGTTCCAGTTGGAGTCAGCTTAGCAGGAGCACACCTTGTATAAACTGAGGCTGTGTTCCTCCTGTGTTGCCCTCTTCACAGAGAATTGTTTGTTCTGCCCCAGGGAATTTCTAACCACTTTGTTCTCTGTCTCCCTTTATAGGCTGGCCTTGGGTGACCCTCTCTGTCTTGGGATTCCTGTACTGCTACTCCCACGTGGGTATCGCCTGGGCCCAGACATACACCATGGACTAATTCTGCCTTCACTGCCAACCTCCAAGCCAAATATACTTTACCCTGATGTTCTACTCCAAGGTGATCTCCCAGGAGTTATCTTCTGGTCATCGTCTGTTCAGAATACCTCATTCCAAGACTGGCACTTGAACTCTCATAGATAATCTGCAACCAGATAATATTATAACTTTGGAGTCCTAGACATTTTCTACCCTAATCTCAGTTTCCTGAGTAACCTGGGGTGAAGGTTAATAGACTACCCAGATATACATGGTGATGTGTTGGTATAGAACCAAGGGTCCTGGCCTTTTCTACTTGTTCTTTACTGCTAGATAAGTATACTGCATGTTTTTTGGTTGAGCACTGGAATCCTGCTTAGTGATAAGCCTGTCCTCCTCTGTGTAATATTTCTGAGACATTTTGGTGATATGGTAGTGACCCTTTGCTGTGGCCTGTGGTGTGGGCTCTACTGTGCTAGAGCATCACACATCAGCTCCTCAGAAGGGAGGTAACAAAGCCAAACTGTAGAATCAGTTCTTTGGCATTCCAAGCACTCAATATCTGAGGAGTCTGTGACTTTTGAAGTTTATTTGGCTCCTTGTTCCTGAGATTTGCAGAGATGTATGAACATGGTCGTTCCTCTGACAGTTAACTGTTTCCCAGTTAAGAAGCAGACTTCAAAAATCAGAGCATGAGTGTATCCACAGATAGGTGCTATCAGACAAGTCACAGAAGGTAAGGAGGACTGCCTATTGGCTTGTCTGCTCTCTCCTCTGAGTTCTAACAGTCAGTGCTACTCCGTGATTTATGCTTAATGGTATATACTGCCTCATTTTGATGCCAGTAAGAGTAGCCTTTTTGTTACATAGAAAATTCCTATTTTTCCAGAATTATTTTGAATAGTTTGAGGCAAATATATCTAAATATACTTATTTAACTTGACTCATTCCTCCAGAAAGATACCAGATAAGCTACCAACGATGCCAAATGGTAGATGATTTAGAATATTTTTGTTTGGCTTTAACGTTTTTTAGAAGGGAGCTAGAACCTTAAAAATTTGAATCCATTGTGTAATTGAGAAGCTTTTCTGTAACATTCCAAATACATGCATTTCCATCAAGTGACTGGTTCATGTGGACCTCGTTTTGTCTTATATTTGTTCATTATTATCCTTGGGTCTTGGCTGTAAGACGTCCTTCTAGAGTTCAGGACTACTCATTTTTGTTGACTCCCTTTATTCCTAGATGCTTTGCTTGGGACAGAGTTGGAAGGGCACAGTGACCTGGGTTTGGTACATGGTATTAGAACAGGCCAGAGAAGGGCAGGTAGACCTGGGAAGTAGTGGCCTCAGCAGCTTCCATGGAAAAGCAGGAGACTTGAGCAGAAGATTGTGGGGTACTGGAAAGTTTAAAGGAGGGATGAGCCTGGGGAAAATAGAAAGCCCTCAAATGATAGAGTAGAACTTTATGGGGTAGCACTGAGGTAGGACTTGGGGAACAGCCAGAAGGAGTTTAGCTGAAGTTTACTTGGAAAGAAAGGGCTTGCTAAGATAAAAAGGAGTGTAGAAATAATTATGTGTGTCTAATGTATTGTATATATATGTAAATAATACAAAAGATTCTGAGCTCTTCCAATGAGAACATTGATATAAAACAAATTTATTCATTCATTGAACTATGTTGGAAAAGACAGTGGATGTATCTGAAATAATCCTCAATTTCTTTTAAACTAGATCATTTAGAGTTCTTAGAAACTTGTGATTACTGTATTTACCTCTATACTTGAGGCTAAAATAATGAATATATGTATTATGCAGGAGCATTTTTTTCTTTAATCCCTATTGTTATGAGCTGACAATACTTGTCTCCATGTGCATGTAAACTAACATCCTAGAGTCTGTTCCACAAAGGATTGCTGCGGACCCTGGGAATGCAGAATGGTTCTGGCTGGGAGCACCTGCCCTGTCCTCAGCGCTATGCAACTTCAGGCTGATGCTGGGAAGAGACAAAACAAGCTTTGTGATCCCCATCAGCACCAGGACCTTCTGGCTCTGCCCTGGCTATATGGGCCAGCCCAGCGGTTCCAAGGAAAAGAATGGCATCTGAGAGGGCAGCAAGCCCTTGGTCGTTGTGGTAAAGTCTTGGAACCATGCAAGAAGAGTTAAAAGCATTGTTTACAGATTAGTGTGCATGCAGTGACAGCAGAAAACCTTTGGTTCTGTGAAAGATGACAGGCCTAGAGAGAAAATATATCAGAGATACATGTCATGATCCATGATTAGGAGAACAGCAATCTAGTAGACAGGGCTTCCTCTTAGAGAAACTGAGACTTTATACTTTGCATATATCTATAATAATGATATAACTTTCGACTAAATATCAAGGATTAACCATAACCTAGTGATTTTTGTTTTTAGCAGACATGCCAGGATGTATCTACGCAGTGAGGTTTGTTTCATAGTCAGTGTGAGAAGCCAACTGATCTCCCCAGTATCGTGTGTTCCTACCTCAACTCTGAATTGAGTTATCATGTAAAAGGAGCAATGCCATGTTTGAAATGTGGTCCACTGGGTATTAAACGAGAACTCAGGTTGGCAGTATTGTGGAGTCTTGCCATAAGCAAGAAGTAGTCTCAGTTAAAATCATAGGACAACTGAAAACATGTCAGTGGACAAGACTGTTTAGTTCAGGGCAGGCCATCCTCTACCTTAATAGCTCTTGAGACCATCAGTGAAGTCAAGCAAGGGTCAGAACTCATGTTACTGACACTGAGTCATGAAGAAAGGATGCAGTTATCTTCTTCCTACTCTGTGTTAAAAGGCAGGGAGGTAAAATGTTGATATGCGTTAAGTCAGTGTGCCCTACAAATTTGCAATGATGGCACACTACTATGGCTTGGACATAGTTTGTCCCCTATCAAACTCCTGTTGAAATTTGATAGCCATTGTGGTGGTGCTGGGAGGCACAACCTCTCAAAGTAATGACATAATCAAGAGGGATTCATAACCCTCTTATGGTCATGCTCACTGTGGTGAGTCCTCATGGAGCTGGGTAGTCAGCCTGCATCCCCTTCAAATTCTATTTCAGCAGGTGCCCACTTGCCCCTCTGATCTCTGCATAGTACAAAGCTGCACCAGGCCCTCATCACCAGCAGCAGCCACCCTATGAGGGACTTCACACAAATCACCAGTCGTGGTTATTCTATGAAAGCACCAGAAATTGGACTGAGACTCGGATTTTAAAAGCAGTCTGTGCACACTAGGCAGTACTTTACATTGATCTTGGTGTCTCTATAAGTTCTCCAAGAACTACAATTCTAGGTGCTATTCCAAGTTATAGCTTCCCAAATCTAGAAAAAGAAGAGAAGATACCACCACCTTCACTCTGTCATTTAGGGCAGAACACCCAATGCAATGTCTTACAGCTATGTAAGGAATGACAAAGGCGAGTATCATGTATAAAATAGTTTATTACCATAATAAATAAACTCTTTTTTACAAATATCATTTGTGCTTGTTTAAAAATATTGAGAAGGGAATATCAATTGATGGAGGGGCCCTCAGGGTTCTCTTTATATCCCCAGCAGCAGGCTACAGCAGAGTTCCTGTCAGCAGCCTCCACTGACCACAAAAGTATCACCTCAGTCACACTTCTGTTTATTCATGCTCATTTGGACAAAGTGACAGATGCAAGGGAAAAAGGAAAACTCAGTAAAGGGTTTGGCAGGACTTAATGGAAAGACCAATAACATAAGGAGAAGGTCAGAATACTGAACTGATCATGGGAAGAAGTTCTGGCAATGCAATGCTGGATATGGACCAACCTGCCATAGATGCAGATCCAGGGTCTGAAGAGAATGTATTTATCAGGCGCATCGCATCCTTGACATAAATGCAGTTCATCTCCTGATACAAGAGCTGTGAGGATGACTCAGAAGTCACAGGTAAAGAAAGAATGGTTCTAAGAAGATTTGAATGGCAGGCAGAGAGGGCAACCCAGGGCCTGGCACTTGCAAGTCCAGTCTTAGAGGTTCCAAAACAGTCTGATATGCTCGCATGAAAAGGGAGCTTCATTTGAAACTAACTTCAGCTGCAGGTAAATTCACATTGATTCTTATGAACTGTGGGAAGTGGAAACAAAGTTCTCAACAGCAGTGCCTTTGGTGAGGAAGGGGTACATTCTCTGATGCTTGCAGTCAACGCCTGGAGGACTTTGTGGTATCCTCCAGGTGGAGGGCACAGGAGCTGGTGAAGGTCATGTTTACAGAAGCAAGTGAGAAGGCAGTGCAGGAAGCAATGACAGTGACTTAGTGGCACAGGAAGGGTTGTCCAGGGGCTGTAGTGACCTGCAGTGTATCCCCTCATTAAGGAACCATCCATAATGGGGGACAATGCAGCTCCCTCACAACTGGGGTCCATTCAGGAGTCTTAAGGCTAAACATCTTTATTGCAAACGTAGTACAATCTGTCAATCAAGTGACTGGCAACGTATATGTCCACCAGAGTCCTAAAAATGTCCCAGAGTGCATATATGGTAGTTGGGAGTTGGCATACCCAAGGGAAATAAGGATCTATCTCTAACTATTCTTAGAGTTCTCATAGTCCTCACATCGATTTTAACAAGCTGAATGGTTAGCTTCCTGCTTTCACTTCCCAACTGATTTGGAAGATCCAGACTGCTGGAGTAGGGTGGAGTGTCTTTGGCCCTTGTCTAAGTAGCCCCACTTCTGAAGGAGGAAGCTTCCAGAAAGAGATTGGTGTGTGACCAGCAGCAGCATAGAGGCTCTGAGAAGCCTAGAGTAAAACAGGCCCCAGGAATCAGCTAAGGAATCAAAACAAGGAATATATTTCTGAAAGTTGGCTGGAAGGCTGCCAAAGTGGGCAAAGCTCTTAACTATCAGGGCCACACCATAGTCTCATCAGCATCACAGCATACTGTATCACTGTAGCCAAGTGGCTGCCCTGGTTGTGTACAAGACCACAGCTTAACCACCCAGTGGCTGCCACTGTCTCCCTTGGGCCACCACGTCATCCCCAGTGAAGGAAGCCTTCCTGGGGCTGTGGGATGGCACCACACAGTGCTGGAGTCAGTGCTGCTCCAACAAGAATGAGTTCCTGTTGCCCATCTTAGTTCATAGCCTCAACCCTTGTGCCATCATGGGAAGACCATGGTCCATAGGCAGCCAAGTGACAGGGCAGGACCTCCTGCCTTCCAAACGGCCTGTCAGGACATCTGCTGGCAAATGGAGCTTCCCTGAATCATGTCCGAAATAAAGAGTTTGGTGGAGATCAAGTAACCAGCACTTACTAGAAAAAGGCGCAACATATTTCTAAAAAAGATGACAAAACCCCACAGAGATCTCTGTCTCACCACACAATTTTTCTGAAGTCTAGATGTTCGGTCTAATATTCAGTCACCTTCTCTAACTTCAGCCACCAGGCTTATACAGGTCAGTGATATCTGAGGGTTGCGTCCTTGCACAGGTGCCCAGGATCAGACTCTGACAAGGGCAGTCAGCATAAGTCAGCCTATGCCCAATTGCATGTCATAAAAAGGGAAGGAAAAAAAGGCTCAGCTCATTTTAAAAACATTTTTTTCACAGACAACAATTTTACCAAAAACTCCTTAATATTGTTAAATGGAGAATAAAAGCAGATACAGCCATACATGTGGTACTTTAACTGTCACCTATAGTAATTCATGTGCAGGCCCTACAACCTGAGGTGAGCAGATTCCCAGAGCAGGGTCGGAACTCCAGTCCTTTCCTAATCTGTTTTATCCTGAGTGCTCTCCTGAAGCCTCATCTCTCCCTGAACCTTTGCCTGTGAGATCCAGATAATGCCTGTTGGGCAGCGCCAGAAGGAAGCACAAGGCCCCCATACTGGAAGTCAGGGTGCTCAAGTCCCTAGAGAACCAATAGAAAGTCCCAGGGGCAGGATGCCCCTGGAGCTGGACGTTGGGGCCCTCAGGGTCCCCAGCCTCCCTCAAGAGTAGCAGGTCCTAATTTAAGCAGAGGTTAAGAAGTATGCTTGAAGAATAGCAAACTGGAATGCTTAGGGGATAACGGCAGATGGGATTTGAGATATTTTATGACCAGACAAGATGCAGCCTTGAGAAATGACACTTTCCCTCCCTGTGTGCTGCCTTCTAAGGCTAAACTGAGTAATGTCATGGCCTAGGATGCCACTGGCTCTTCATAAGCTTCATGTGAAAAGCTACACGTGTGACTCCTTTCACCTTCCAAGGCCATTGTGTCACCTTGGTACCACTGAGGAACAAGTGGGTCTATGGGGAGAGAGCTTTGAAAGAGCTTTCAGGAACATAGGATCTTTGGTGGGGCACATCTTGATCTGTCTGGTTCCTTAAGGACACTGGCATTCAGAATTTTGACAGCAAAGTGATGCCAGGCGGAGGTGCTGGGGACAGGGTCACAACAGTGCCACTTGGGTAGAGCTCAGCAGTCTGGACAAGGCCATGCTGTCACTGGCATGCCTGATTGCATGCTGTCAAGGCTGACTGCAGAGCTGAACTTCCAGCCCTGCTTGGCAGTGCTGTGTCCGAGCATCTCGTGTGCACCAAGGCAGGAAGAGACACTCTGCTTTTCTTCCTCCGGCACCACTGAGAAGCCCAGGCCTTTCTGTAGCCCGGCCCTAGGTGACAAGGCAGTGTGCATCCTGAGCATTACGATGCTGGGAGGCAGTGGCTCTAGAGCCATGGCTGTGGGCTTGTACTTTCAGCACAAACCACAACTCTTTGGCCAGTTCTCTCTGTCTCCTTACAGAGACGACTTGAAAACCTACAGGCTGAGCCTTCCCCCAGCTCTTGAACACATTACAGTCATAGTCCTGCCACTTTTTCTTAGTAGGAGATGGAGGTTGGCTTTTAAACAAGGCTATGCAAGGCTCCCAAATGTCTTCTAATGACCCTATGCAGTAGGCAAAATATAGATTTCTGAAGGGCAATCCCTGTGAGAATCAGAAGACAAACAGCACTTGCTACAATCATTTTTCTGAGTGTCGCTGTGTGTGTGTGTGTGTGTGTGTGTGTGTGTAAAGCAACTCCGGGCTCATGCCCCATCCTGCTGATCACCATACCTGAGGAACATCGTGGGAACACTTTGGAAGAGGTCAGAGGGAAAAAAGCAGAGCAACCACTGCTGGAAGGGGCCGCAGGGCCACTCGGAATGTCCTTGTGGAGTGTCCCAGAGGAAGAGGCCGTGGAGCCCCGACAGAGCTCCTGGGGCCAAGGGCCCCCCCACCCCGGCCTTGCTTCTGGGCAGAGACCTGAGCATTCCAGCTATGCACAGCTGGGGTGGGAGGCATGCAGCAGCTGCTGTCTGGCTTTCACTACCAGCGACAAGAAGGTGAAGGGCTCTCTACTCTCCACACCTCAAGGTTCCCTTGTGGCAACTGTGTAGAAGTAGATGGTGAAACCAAGGTGAGCTGTACAAGGGCGAGGGATGCTGGGGAGTCTCTATGCCCACGGGGGTCTTGGGGGGCCTCAGCAAGAAGCCCAGCAGATATATACATGAGGAGTGCTTGGCACACTCCTGCTGGTCCCAGACAGCTGCTGCTCTTCCTGGCAGTTTTAACCTTTTATAAATACTGTGGTAATACAAAATTTAAAATGAAGGAAACACCCTTTGGACAGCAAGCCCTTCCTACAGAACCGTGCAGAGGCAGCTCAGACACACAGGTGCAGTCTGGCAGGTGGCGTGGCACCTCCCCCACCTTCCTCCTGAAAGTGGTTGCTCTGATTTCTGCTGGAAAAGCTGCACTCCACAGGACTGTAGTGAGGGCCTATGTGCGGGTAGTGTCAGGGGCAGGATGCACTCTCCTTGACTTTTTAAAACAAACTTTTCAACTGGCTCCAAAAATGTCTCTCTCTGATTCTGGGGACTGGGGCCCTGATATTTCAAACAGCTCCTGTGGAGACTGGGACGATCTCCTGGCAGTCAATATCCTGAGTATCTCTGAGAGCTGGTTCTCAATGCTGGCCATCTTGGCATTCAGGGCTTTGATGTCCTCCTTCAGCTCGTGCTTCACCTCCAGGACTGTGGCCTGTAGCGTCTGCTCTGGGATGGGGTAAAAAGAATGCTTCACCTCCGCCAAGATGGGGCTCCGGTCCTGGGGACTCCTGGCCTCCCCAACGTTGTCCAGTCGCAGGTCGCTCTTGGTGATGCCACTGTCGCAGGAGTCTGTCTTCTTCAGTGTAGCCTCGCCTGCAGCCTTGGTCCTCTCTGGCAGTGTCTCCATGGACTCGGCCTTGGAAACCTTGTTCCAGTCCTCGCCCTTCCCACAAGCATCCTTGAAGCGGGCCCAACCTTTACGCTTGGCACAGTCTCCACCAGCACCCTTCGGGCCCAGGCACTCAGATCCAGGTGCATGCAGCTTGGCATGATCCGACACTGTGGAGGCAGAGGCCGCCTGAAAAGACACAGGTGTGGCAGGGCTCTCCCGGACTGTGACCACGCTGGCCTTCCCGAGGCTATGGTTGTTGGCACTGTGCTCCGGAAGGACGCTGCCTTTCTCCACATCCAGGTCATCCAGGTCCCGGCCACCCCTCTCCGCTGCTAGCCTGGCCTCCTTTTGCTGCCGGAACCTCTGGAAGAGTCGTCTGACCGGGTGGTCAGGAGGTAAGATCAGGGGTGCCTCATTCTTCCGTTTCATGCGCTCTTCCTCTTCCCGCTTCACATCGCTGATCTTCCGGAACACAATCTAGAGTAGGACAAAGGGACACACACTGCATTAGCCAAGGGGTGGTGGCTCCCACAGCAAAGCTGAGATGGTCTCGGCACACTTCCCTTGGGAAGCTTGACTGAGGGAAGCTGCATGACTTCCTGTCCAGCTCACTGGCCACCAAGAGGCCCACATGCTATATACAGCCTATGCAGCCAGAGAGTCTTCCTCCTACTGGTTCTCGGTTCTCCAGCAGCAGGGAACTGGCTGTTGCCACCATGATCTTCAGTGGGAACAAATGCCACCCTCACCATCCCTATGTACTAGGGGGCCAGAGACACCAACTGGCATCCTCCTCAGCACAGACTGCTGTTGCGAGCCAGGGCCCTTTTGGCTGTTCTGCAGTTCCAAAACACATGCTAAGCTTTCAAAACAGCCTTTCTGGTCCCACCTTAGACTCACTCCACTTAGAATCTCCGGAAGAGAGGGCTTTGAATCTGGAAAATAAAAATCTCCCCAGGGTGTCTGATGCATGGAAGTTTGAGCCTCCTTGCTTTAAATCACCTTCCTTCACAGCAAGGAAGTCCAAGTGAGTCCCCAGGCAGGCCTAGTGCTTACCACTCACAGAGCTGGACCTTAAGTAAGAGTCAGTCTCACATGGAAGCCCCCCTTTTCCCTGCAGAACTTACAGTACAACAGAGATTCACAAACTTGAACAGAAATTTGTCCTAACAATCATATCCAACACATGGGCAGTGCTCTGGAGTTCTTAAAGCATTTCAATATTATTCCATGTATTTTTTATCATGAGGTCATAGGGACATACATCATTGTCCCCAGAGCTCTGAGTGCCTAAGCATCACAGAACTGGAAAGTTGCCTATAAGGTGCCTATATTCAAGCCACCAAATTGCAGCTCCATTAGATGGCCACCAGATAGTTACTTACAATGGCAGGTGTGTGAAGAGAATGGACAGTTAGCAGAGCAGACTTAACAAGCTGGCTCAGATTACACATAAGCCATAAATTACAGGGCTTCTTCCTGGGCCCAAGGCTGATTACTAGGAAGGCCTATAACTTCTAGATTATATTGCCAGGATATTTTGACTTATGCTATATCCGGCCTTGCAGGAAGCAGCCTGGCCAGGCCATGCCATTCACAGCTCATTGGTGCATCTGTAGAGCATCCCAGGCACTCATAGCCTAAGCCACCCTTAGGAGGGGAGAGAGTCTTCTACAGACTTTTCTGAAGCCTTTGGGCTTCTTCCAAAGTGCCCGCACCACAGTGGCAAAAGCAGCCCATTTGCACATTGAAGTCCTACCTGATGAGGAGGTGACCCAGAGCTTCAGTGTCCACACTCTCCTTTGAGAATCAGAGCAAAACCAGCACCCCCATGGGGCACAAAAAAGCAGTCCTGAGGAGTTGGTTATGATTGGAGAGCCTTGTCAATCTGGGGCTAAGAGCTCTGCTTGCTAACTTGAGCTGCATTTTTGGAGAGGTTGGTCATGGATTCTGTCTCAGGGGCAGCCACAGCCATGCATTTTGACAAGTATGTTATGTCTCAGGGGAAGGGATGGCTGCATGATCCATGATGACAAGGTCTGGACCACCAATAGCAACAATCCCATCTGTTCAGAGATGCTCACATTTGCTACCACAGGAGCATGCCTCAGGAATGGGGAAGCGAGACCCTGACCCTATAGTTCAAGATGCTCCTGCTGCTCATCAGGCTTTCTCTGGAGGCCTGGTTGTCCAGCTTTTCCAGAGTGTTCCACAGGGCTTTAAAAGGTGCTATCAAGATGATAAACATTTCAAGGTGAAATAAGTTTGAGCCACACTGCACCATTAAATCAGGGGCTTCACTGCCAGACTTCTCGGAGCCTTAACAAACTAATATGCCATGTAAATGTCCAAGAGGAAGACACTGCATGTGGCATTTCTTAATCCATTTCCCCCGATCTTCCCTTTCAAATAAGCAATGATCCCTGAGTGCACTCTGCCAGACATCAATACTATATAAATGTGTAGCGTGTGCCTTCTGAATTTGTGCCTGGTTTCCTGTTTCTTTTTCCAAGCTGCAAGGTGCCTTCTAACTACTGCCCAGTTGTGGATGCTTTGTTAGGACATGGGGTTGCAGTTACAGATGTATCGCCCCCTGGTGGACTGGCCTGCATTAATCCAAACTATGAGCTTACAGAGGCCTGCATAATTCTGCCTCCCAAGCAGTCATTCTGTAGCCTCCAGCCACGCTGATGAATTTCAGGTCCTGAACAAAGCCTAGCTCATGGCCTACAGCTCCCTTGAATCTCATATCCCACCCCATCTCTCCAGTCTTCTCCTTTGTGACAGCTGGGACTCAGGTTAGGCATCATCCATTCCATCAAACTTCCCTGACTGTCCCCACCCATGTCAGAACAGTCCCTCTTGGTGGTGCCCAGCATGGGGCAGTCACATGTACTTCCACAGATCTTTCCTAAGTACTGTGAGAGTTTTGCTTGTCATTTCCTTCAGATGAAGGCTCCCTGAATGCAGACACAGTGTTCTATTTTTCATCTTTAACAACATGTGTATTGTACCAAATGCTCAGTAAATGGTCAGTCCGTACATCAGTGCATGAATTAGGGCCATGCCCCTGCCATGATTGTGAGGTCTATGCTATGGCAAAAGAAGTGAGGTTACCCATTCCCAAATCTGCTTCCATTGTTTGTGGTCTAATGGAGAGAGAAGAGGCTATAGATGGACTTTTGTTTTTCTGTGCAAATCACATAGGCTCCTGAAGGGTAGTACATAAATAAATTCCTAACAGGTTTCCAGCCTTACTCATCTTCATATGACCTCATACTGATTTCATTGCCTTTGTCTGACTGATTTAATTTTTCAAATCACTGCATAATCTCAGAGAATGGATATGCAGAAGTAGACCTGAGATAAACATTTTTTTCAGGAGGTATAACTGCTCTTGAATTTTCCTTTTCTATAAGCTTGGATCATCCTAAGGTCCAAGGAAAAGCCTGCATTGAAGGCTCAGAACTGGAATGCCTATTTCATTCTACCTCGCACCTGCCCTACCAGCTGGATAGCTCCATGCTTGAGTCCATGCAGGGGTGGGTCAGGCTTTGTCTATTGAGCTTCATTGTAAGATTTCATGTCAGTAAAGGGTTGTGTGGCCCAAAACTCAAACTGAAAACCACTGGATCACATCATCTCAAAAGAATGAAGTTGATTTTAAATGTATAATTCTGTTTTTGCATAGTGCCTCATGGCCTTTTTGACATACTCAAGTGCATGGTTTCATTGAGCTTATGCTTCCTGTGAGGTGCACAGAGGTCTCTGTCACAATTTGACAATCCAGGAGGCTGAGCTGAGAAGGCGGAGCAACATACAGTTGATTAGAAGCAGGACTTCAGGACATGGGTCAGTGTTCTTTCCTTCCCATTAGGGATTCTTAGACAGGGATCAAAAGGAAGGTGCCAGGTTCTATTTGGAGAGGTTAGGGTAAGACCTAATTACTCACTGGAGACAGACCCTTTCAGTTACCATCCTGATTCTAGAAACCAAGATGGAATAAGCCCAGATAGCCCAGATCCCTCCCAGATCTAACAGAATCATGCCAGGGACTCCACAGGGACATGCATTCTCTCTTGCCTGACATGTTTGGTATGAGAGGTTCATGCAGAATGCTGAAGAGGCTTCCAGGGCAAGGATGGCCACTGTCCCTTGTAGCCTCTGAGGCCACACCAAGCCATGGACTTGAAGGCTACACTCTCTTTTAATGCAACCAGGAGAGGTGTTTGATTGTCCTGACTTGCCTCAGACCCCACGGGAACTGACTTTTCAAACCAAGTTAAGTACTGTTGTCTATAAAGCCCTGCTGCCTGTAAAGCTGAGGATTAATTCATCTCAGCTCAACAGCCATTTTTTAAGGACCCCTGGGTTCAAGTCTCCTCTTTCCTTCCATCTTTTAGTCTCCTTCCCATTTGAAAAAAAAAATCTCCCTACTTCCTGTTATCTATCTTTTATTCTGCTCTCTATACTTAGGGTTTCTCATGTAAGAGGCACTGTGTGTCTTATTTTATTTAGCATTATGGTCTCACCGTGCATCCATTTACCTACTGAGACCTCAAGTGTATCTTTCTTTATGCCTCCAGTCATTATTTGCTCATCCTTTCTTCACCAGGTGTCACTGGAATGGGTGACACAAAGCCAAGTAATCTGCTCAGAGCAACCACTGCACGTGGCACACACTGCACATCCCTGTGAGAGCTGGGAGCCAGGCCTCCTCACCTTCCAGGGCTGGCGTCCACACTACTCCTGACATCAGGAGTGCCAACCCTGCCTCAACATCCCCACAGGTCCCGGAGATGTGGCTCTCCTTGGAGTTTCCTGAGCTGCCAGCCTCTCTACCAGTAACCCTGCCTACTTTTACGATAGAGCATAAAACATGAAGATTAACAAACTCAGCCACTCAAGAAATGTAAAATATGGAAACATAAACTGCAGATAGGCTGACAGGATGAAGCAGTTGGTTGGGTTTTGCTTTTCGAAGATGCCACTTCTTAACCCCTCTAGATAAGAAATGTTACAGTGCCCACTCCTGTTATAGAATCTAGCACTGTTGTGCCTTTAATAGCTTCAATAATGAATTTGCCACTGCCCAACACATGGGAGTCTGAGCCTGAGGAAGGAAAGGGACACCCCAGAGAGACTGAGGCAGGTAAGGTCAGGACTGACTGCCTCATGTCAGGGCTGGATGCTGGAGAATAAGGTACTGTCTTTTCCTCCAGGGAATGCCAGGCTGTGGGAGCCAGCTGAGTAAACTCACAGCCACGACACTAAGTGGACTCCGGATGGGAAGCAGGCAGGGCTCATGAAGTCTGGACTAGTGAACACCAGTTCTGGGAGACATGCAAAAAGGATCATGCTCCAGAGCCTCAGTTTCCTTATCTGTCAAATCAGATAATACATCTGATTCACAGAGCTTTTATGGGGTTTAAGAAGAGTATTTGGTTTTAACAGCTATTCAGTGAATGTATTATATG